ACACCTTGCCAGTTTTTTAGAGACAAGGTCTCAGTCTTGCTTAGGTTGGTCTCAAACTCCAGAGCTCAAACAATCCACCTACTTTGGCCTCCCAGAGTGCTAGGATTCCAGGGAAGATGTCTTTCTAGTGAAGGTGTTACTGGGCTGTAGCCTGGCCCTGAGGTTTGATCTTAGTCTTTCTCCACCTCCACTTTTTCAGGCTGAGCAGCAGAAAAAGGCAGCCATCATCTCTGCTGAGGGGGACTCCAAGGCAGCAGAGCTGATTGCCAACTCACTGGCCACAGCGGGTGATGGCCTGATCGAGCTCCGCAAGCTGGAGGCTGCAGAGGACATTGCATTCCAGCTGTCGCGCTCTCGGAACATCACCTACCTGCCAGCAGGGCAGTCTGTGCTCCTCCAGCTGCCCCAGTGAGGGCCTGCCCTGCCTGTACTCCTCAGGCCAACTGGGCCACAGCCCTGATGATGATTAACACCACCTCCCTTCTGCCCCCACCCAGAAATCACTGTGAAATCTCATGATTGGCTTAAAGTGAAGGAAATAAAAGTAAAAATCACTTCAGATCTCTAATTATCAAATGAAGCTCTTTCATTCTTCTCACACCCATCTACTTTTTTAACCACCTCCCTACCAAAATTGCCAAGTGCCTACACAGACTAGCCTTGGGTCCCAGTTCCAGGCCTGCGGGAGCTCCATTCTAGGCACTGGCAGTTAGCAGGACAGAGGCAGGACAGGGCATGTGTGGACCAGGGAGCACAGTTGTCAGCCTGGGCAGATGTGCAGTGTCCGTGCTATCTGCTGAAGGTTTGAGGATGTGGCACACGCAGCTCCACTGAGAATGCAGCCTCAGTTTTTCCAGCGGTTCCTGCACCGACGCAGCTGAAAAGAGGTGCTGGGGAATGTCAGAAAGGAAGTGATCTGTCTCTTTCCATAAGGCTGATTCTCTTTAACTGTGCGACCAGCGGAAGCAGGTGTGTTCCAACAGGGCATGGATCGAAGAATCTGCCCTTGTTGAGGTGGGTGGGCCTGATTGAGCTGCCCCCCAGGGTCCCAAAACTGGGATGGACTTGGATAGGGAGAGAGGAGGCCTGGACTGAGATGTGAGTCTGTCGAAGACTTCCTCTCCACACCCACCTTGGTCCCTCTCAAATACCCAACGGAATTCCAGCTTGAAGGATTGCATCCTGCTGGGCCAAACATGCCTGCCAAAGACGTGCGCATCCTGAGTTCCTGGCTCCCTCGTTCAGAGACTGCCCTTCTCAAGGGCTCTGTGCCTAGGCTTTGAAGGAAACCACCACAGGAAGAAAACAAATGTATGTAAACTCCTGTCAATAAATGACATGCAGACCTTCCAGCTCAGTCGTGGGTTTGTGTTCTTTGTTCGTTTGTGGGAGCCCTGGAGTCAGGACAGAGTGTTCAGCAGTTTGTGTGTGCACGTGTTTGTGTTGCCAGCTGAGACAGAATCTCCAGCAAGGCAGAAAGTGCTGTTTTCAGAAAATGTTTTTGTGCTGTGTTCCAGATCCATCCCCACTCTGGAATGAAGCTCAGTGGTCCCAGGGGAGATTTGTCATGAGGTGGGGTCAGAGGAGGCAAGAATGGGTGGGGGTCAATCAGCAGTGCCCTGTGTTTTGGTGCCACCACTGACCTGCGGTCCCAGGCCTGCCCACCAATACCTTTCTCTGATGTAGGGAAGCTGTTGATGTGAAATACACACGTCCAGTAGCCCTCGGTGCCCTCTCCATTGATTTTTAAGCGTGGTAGATGGCTTGGGGTGCTCCACGATGGGTTTGTATTGCTTATATCTGCTTTGTTTTGACTGATACTGGAACTGCTTTGGCATTTGAGGGGCCTGAGATTGTGCCTGTTGGATGGGGGGAGGGAAAGTAGGCTTCAAGTTGAGAAATGAACCTGCCAGCCACCTGCCTCGTCGTCTTAGGAACAAAGCGGAAACAGGCAGTGTGTGCACAGAGCACAGCACTGACTGTGCTTTAACCTCTGCTCTCAGTTTAATCCCTGGGCTCACCACCTGGCCGCAGAGAGGGGACTTTTAAGAAGACTCCCCAGGCTGATCTCTGACCTGGATTCAACATTTCCTCTCCCTGAGTGACAGGGCCAGCTGTCAGCTGGGGAAGAGGCAGGCCCAGTGCACAAGTTTGAGGTGGAGCTGGGGATTCAGTTCTCCCAGTCCCTATACACTGCACCCCTCCCAGGGCCTCACCCCTCGTCTCTGGAGCAGACAATGGCACATGGTGGGCTCCTGACCCTCCACTGAACCTCAGGCCTCAGTGAACCTCCCATCCAGCCCATCTCCCTGCCACCTCCCCCGCCATCATTCATCTCAGGCCTCAGGATATCTCTTCCCACTTTGTGAGGCCTGCAAATGATGAAGTGCCTGGACTCAAAGCATATTAAAGACTGGAGCAGAAAGAGTCTAATTCCTAAATAAGTTCTAGACCAACTTCCACTCTGAGGCCTTCCTCCTTTCCTGCCATTTATTGCTTTGGACACCCTTTTGGAGGAGGAGGGGGCAGGAGGCTCCTCTCTCTTCCCTTGGCCCTTTTTAAAAGAGTAGTTGTGTTTCCTGTATTTGGCGGGAGATTGGGTTTCATACTCCAGGTGTCCGTAGGGAACCCTGAGCTGCAAAGCTGCCCTGCACAGCTTTGGGGTTTCTCCTGCCTTCAAGCCAGCCAGGTTTCCTGCTGGCTTTGCCATTAGCCTCCCCATCAGGGCTGGCAGAGGCACTCCCAGTGGCAGCTCAGGGCCTCCTGCTGCCTTGACTTCCGCCAAGTAATTCTTTTCACAAATGTTCAGGGACTGTTAACTGGCTTAGTAGCCCCTGATGGCCTCTGGGTTTCTCCAGAAGCTGTCACAATGGCCCTTTATCAGCTTGGGATTCTCTGGGCCTTGGATCAAAAGCTATGTCCCGTCCTGGCCAGAGAAGGGAGAATGCAGGAAGTGTCTTCCTCCCTCTCTCCTTAGGCTAGACTGAATGGTTCCCTTGTTCATGCTCTGAAGGGTCCCCAGCTAAGAAGGGAGAAGGGAGACAATCCCTCAAGGGTGGGCCATTTTCCTGACTTCTGCTAGGTTTACACAACTCCTGCAGGGGTGGGGTTGGTGGGTGGGGGTGGACTGATGAGGGGAGAAGTGTTGTGGTCATCTCCAGATGGGTTTATTTGAAAGCTAGGGAAAGACAAAACAATATTAGTCAAATCCTGACTTAGCAAATGCTATTCTAATAGAACATTCCAGCAATCAACAAAGGCACGTGAGGATAGGACCTCCCTTATCTTTTGCCATCTGCCAATAATCATGGGCAAAGCAGCCCACCCTGATTGAAAATAACCTGATGAGAAGGTCGCAGGAGGCCGATTTACCAGCCTTTCCTCGGTCTTCCATTCATCCTTCACTGCTTCAAATATCCTTTCCTAAACCAGGTCTCCTCACCTCCCCGCTGAAGAACTTCAGTGGGCCCTCCTTGCTCACTTAGTAAAAGGCAAGTATCTCTTCCTGGCATTCAAAGCTGTCTGTGGGCTGGCTAACTTAATATTTTATTGCTTACCTCTCAAACCTACCTAGTGATTCTCACCGATGTTTAAATGTGCAAGTGGAAAAAAAATAAAAGTGCAAGTGGAATGGGGCAGTGGTTACAGGCATTGGGGGAGGGGAATGGGAGATGGCATTGATGCTCAAACACCTTGTCAATAACACCCCACTGAGAGTAAGCCCCAAACGGAGTTGCTTACCCTTGTCTGCACCCCATGCTTTTACTGCACCCCCTTTGCTCACAGCCAGTTCACCCTGAACAGCCCTTCCCCTAACCCCCACAAGTCCAGATGCTCCCTCCCCTTTGAGTCCTAGCTCAGATCATTTCTCTTCCATGAAACTAATGCTGATGTCCCCTGCCCTGTCACCTCTCCCTTGTATAAACAATCCGTTCCTATGACAGACACACTTATCCCTCTGCTCGCCAGATTACACCTGCCTCTGTGTGTGTGTGTGTACACACAAGTGGGGGTGTGTTTTCTCTCCCCTACTCCATGATTACAGAGAACGGGACTCCTCCTTCTTTCCCCTGACCACCCCTGGATGTTTGACCACCCAGGCCAAACACGCCTGGCTTTTGTGGGAATTACTGAACATCAAATGAATGAAACGAGGGATAGAGTATACAGGACAGAGTTAGAAAGGAGAGCTGGAAATCGAGGCTCTTGAGTTCTTTTTCCATGTTTTTACATCAAGATGCATCAAGCTACTCTGAATTAGGGTTCTCTGGGTCTAGCAGGCCAACCTATCCACCAATGTCACCGGCCTCCCTTACTAATTCCTCAGAATCATCCTTCTCTGGAGTCATATGGTATCCACATGTGTGAACCCTCCCCACCCAGCCACCTGCCCACGACCTGCTATCTCCTGTTTCTGTCTAAAACGACACTTCTGTCTCTTTTAATCCCTGTCACTCTCCCTGTCTCAAACCCAGCTTAAAATCCCCTTTCTCTACTGAAATCCTAGTACCCTGAGAGGCCAAGGCAGTCAGGAGTTTGAGACCAGCTTGAGCAAGAGTGAAGCCCAGTCTCTACCAGAAATAGAAAAAATCATCCAAGTGCTGTGGTGTGTACCTATAGTCCCAGCTACTTGGGAGGCTGAGGCAGGAGTTTGAGGTTGCAGTGAGCTATGATGATGTCACTGCACTCTAGCCAGGGTGACAGATATTCCATCTCAAAAAAAGAAAATCCAAGCTGGGTGCAGTGGCTCACACCTATAATCCTAACATTCTGGGAGGCTGAGGCCAGTGGATTACTTGAGCTCAGGAGTTCAAGAACTGAGCAAGAGCGAGACCCCATTTCTACTAAAAATAGAAAAACTAAGGCCAGGGGCCTTCTTCTCTAAGAATTTGCTTCTGGCACCTCTTTGAAGCTTTCCTTTATAGAAAAAATATGGAGACTCTAGGATGCTAGCAACACAGGGATTGGGGATTGAGAATTTAACATAAAGCAAGTGACGAGCCTGCCCTGGCCAATAGGGGCTGGGGTGCCTTGGCAAGGCAGGGATGCATAGAGCTGGGAGGGAGAACAGGTGGGAATGTACCTGGCCTGGGAAACTGGGTTATAATCAAAGGAGAACTCCTTCTCCTGTGTCGGGAAAGGAAGGCAGCCCTCTAGCACTCTGATCAAGCTACTTCAGAAGAGAGAATAAAGCCAAAAAGGCAAGGCTGCTTTGGGGGAGCTTAAAGTTGTTGACGTGCTTGGAGGCTGGGACAACCCACCTGAATTAGCCAGAAAAGGCATGATTAGTAAAGACTTGAAGCATGTAAATTTGGCTGAAAGAGATGCAAACACTTCAATCAGGGAGTGGCAAACTATAGCCTAGAGGCCAATGCAGACTGCCACTTGTTTTTGTATCAGTTATGAACTAAGAATTATTTTTACACTTTTAAATTGCTTAGAAAAATATCAAAAGAAGAAGAATATTTCACGACATATGAAAATGGGGTGAAATTCAAACTTCAGTATCCATAAGTTTGTTTGTTTGTTCATTTGTTTTGAGACAGAGTCTCAAGCTGTCACCCTGAGTAGAGTGGTATGGCATCACAGCTCACAGCAACCTTAAACTCTTGGGTTCAAATGATCCTCTTGCCTCAGCCTCCCAAGTAGCTGGGACTATAGGAACCCACCACAATGCCTGGCTATTTTTTTTTTCTTGTTGCAGTTGTCATTGTTATTTTAGCTGGGCCAGGTTCAAACCCACCAGCCTCCATGTATGTGGCTGGTGCCCTACCCTTTGAGCTATAGGCACGACCACATTTTCCACGTGCTCAGTGGGTAGAGCACCAGCCCCATATACAGAGGGTGGCGGGTTCCAGCCCGGCCCCAGGCAAATTGCAACAAAAAATAGCCACTTTGTGGTGGGTGCCTATAGTCCCAGCTAGTAGAGAGGCTGAGGCAAGAGAATCGCCTAAGCCCAGGAGTTGGAGGTTGCTGTGAGCTGTGACTCCACAGCACTCTATTGAGGGCAATAAAATGAGACTCTGTCTCAAAAAAAAAAAAAAAGAAGAAGAAGTTTGCTGACCCCTAATTTAGGAGACAAGATAGCCTCAGAAAAGAAAGGGAAGAATCCTAGAATTTGGAAGTCTCAGGCACTAGGAGGGACTGAGGGCGTTGTTACATACCAATGTAATTGTCACCAAAGTCCTTGATGTGTCTAAGGCTATGGTGATTTGAGAAGCTAAGTCACACTGGGGACTTGGCACACAGACCTGCTGCTCTTCATGGCTTGCGTATGTTTCTGAAATGTCTCTAGATGAGAGCGAGGGTAACAAATGGATGAGAAGAAAAAAGGCAGGAGAACCCTATGGTC